AATGAATTCATATGTAGAGAAGTTACTTATCATGCTTATATAGATTTTACCCTGGAAACTTGTAGTACACCTACACATTCACATGTGCACATGCATACAGACACAAACACAGATACATACATACATACAGACATTACACACACACACACACACACACACACACACACACACACACACACACACATTTGATTCTTCTAAACTTCAGTAAAAGTAAATCATGATAGTATTTAAGGTTATAGCTTTTCTTCTAACTCCACATTGCATTTTTTTTTTATTGCGATACTCAATATATGATACAATTTATGATACCACATTTATGATACAATGAGACTCAAGACAGTAAAAGCTGAAGACCATGGCTGGACAACTTTGCTTGTGGTTCGTGAAGCCTTCCTTCATAGATATCAATGACCTGAATTGATGTCTACCTGCACTGTTCTTTTTTCAGGAAAAATGGTATCCTACAAGCTGTCTGATGATGGCTGGAAGGTAAAGAGTGTGCTGATTGGTAGCAACCACTGCACGAAGACCCTAGACCCTAAGGACCTTTTCTATGTGCTGAAAGCTTGGTGTCACTCAAACTGCATTCCCCAGGACACAACAGATATACTAGTAAATATTTAAATGTGTCAAGATTTGTCAAAAAAAAAAAAAAAAAAAAAAAAATCCTACCTTACATCAAGTTATTTTTGCATTTCATTCATATTTGGGACCAGAATTCACTCTGACAGAAGTTAGAAAAGCCATTCATGAGACTAACCTCACAATACATAAGATGTAATTCCCATATTCATCAGAGCTTCCTGTGATTTTGAATAAGATTTTTATGAAACACATGATGTATTTCTTATATCATGAAGTACTTTATAATCTTTTTCTATAAATATTTAATACCCATATGAAAGAAGTCTTACTAACACCTCTTTTTCTCAGTTAAACTTAGCAGGATGGATTCCTGATGATTTGAACCCAACCATTGACCAGAAGGATTACAAAGAAGTCGTGGATGCTGACAGTTTGCCAGGACCATAGACAAGATGGGAGAAAATGTTAAGAGAAAAGGTTTAGTCCTTTGGATTATGGCTTTGAATAATGGCACTGGACCTTATAATGATATTAATAAGATAATATCTTTATGACTGGGAGTTGCTACTGAATGTAAATCTTCCAATTATTGATGGTGAGTGACAACTACATACATGAGTACCTGTAATGTTTGAAAATTTAACTTTGATATGTCTGTAGTTGATTCTCTGGTTCCTGGTTAACTATAATATTCATGGATTGTACTTTTACTTTTCATGGTGAAGAGATTAACCATTTTCTGAACATTTTCAATTATCTCGTTATATACCTAAAACTGTTTAATACGAAATGTGATTGACCTCTGGCTATAAAAAGAAAATGCTAGCTAAAATAGACCCACTTCAGTGAGATTTGTGATGGCTGGCTTTGTCTGAACCTTTTGCAATATGGTGGAGCCATTGAGTGTGTTTTTGTATAGCAGAGACCAATTCACTAATGATCCTAGAGTAATAATTAGTGTACACTGGTCTTAGACACCCATATCTGACCACAGCACAGATCTATGATAACACAAAGTGCATATTTCTCGTACATGACTCTTTGGATAATATTTCTGGCCTATTTCTCATTTAGGTTTCATTTAATAGCACTATAACAACCCACTATAAAAGTAATATGGCATATTACTTTTATAGTGGGTTGCTATAAAAAAATACTGTTAATATAAACATGCATTAAATTTAGACTTTCATTTCCCATAGTGATTAAACAGGAGGTTGTCGGTTATTTGGATGACTGGCAACTTCCTTAAATGGGAGGCAACAAAAAGGATACCTATGGTTGAAAGCTGAAGTACAAATGCAGAATTTTTTTGAGTAAAGGAACACACACACATACAAATTGGTTGTGAAGTAAAAGAGCAATATTAGTTAGTATGGAGCCTTGTAGGAATGATGAACTTTGTTGTTTATTTCTCTTCAAGAGGTACCTTCACTGTGTTTGATGTCAAAATACATTTAGAACCTTTTAGTGAGTCACAGTCCATTAAAATAAAATTAATTGTATAAAGAAACTCAAAATATGGCATTTCATTTTATTTAAAAATCAATTATATACATTTGCATAACTTGTCTGTTATTATATAATTACTATTTAAAAGTTTTATAAAACTGTACATAAAAATACTTGTGACAGTAGTATGAAATAAAGTTAAAAAGAAAGCCTACTTTTGAGGGGTTTGATGGCTCATGACACAGAGATGTCATCCCAGGATAAATAGATGATAATATTAAAAACCTTGGGTATTAATTTGTATATATTAATATCACACTGAAATGTGTATCTGGACTATCAGCTTATTTCTACATACGCCGTATCTAGGAACAGTGTGTCAACAGAGCAGTTCCATAATGCTGGGTATGACTCCATTTTTGGATGAGCTCGAAAATCCCCCACATGAAGAATAGTAGCTCCTGTTTGCAGTTTGAACAGAAACATCACAGCTCCTGGACAACTGCAACAAAAATGAAACATCTTAGATTCAATACAATAACAAAGCCATTTATAATATGCAAGGGAATGTACTTCTTATTTACTGCTATAAAATTTCTAAAATCATTGTTTCTAAAACAATACATATGAAAGTGAAGCTCTTGGTTATCATTTTTCTAAAGCAGTATAAAATCTCATAAAATAAACAAAAAATGTTGACATGCATCAAATGAAGCATTGCCACAACCTACAGATTCTATAGGATCCTGCCTCTCTATGTGTGCCTAGGATTGTTGAGGTCCTAATTAGTCATGGTACATGAGATGAACTCACAAGAAGTATACTAGTACTCTGGGGCCTTAAACTACATAGCCAATATACACAAAAACTTGAATGGTATAAAATAAGAACTAAGGGAGTAAACACAAAACCAAACAATTATTTTGTTATCTTCTATCACATTAATAGAAACTTTACATTTAAGTGAAACTGAACTTTTGGAAGTCAAAGTTTCTTACTGGTTAGCTTCAAGGAGAGTGACTTCCAGGCCACACACAAATTGAGGTTCCTCCATGGGAAGGAAATGCAGATATTTCAGAGGAACTCCCAGTCGTAAATTGACTAGTCTCCCTGGAATAGAACTTCATTCTCAGTCTCTATAAATGATAAGTAGATAGCATAGATCATGCAGACAAAATATTTAATTCTGTTAGATATAATACTCCACACATTTTATGAACTTATCAAAATTCAATTTCAACTAATATAAATGACAGAAGCAAACATGCTTTCAACAAGATAAAGAGAAAAAACATGGAAAGGCAACAGTATACAGTGCAAAGACTCATCAAACTTGGAGCAATAGTGCTAGTAGCCACAGGTAAGCAACAATGGGCAACATAAAACAGTAATGGACATTGGGATTTGATGAACAACAAAGATCCCAATTTGTATGTCTCCTAGTAGTTTTGGACAAATACCAGTACTTTCCATATTCAGTTAACTATACTGTATGTAACAATATATTGAGGTTGAGGTCATATTGCAGTAATTCTGAATAAATACATATGAAAAAATGTGGAAAACATGAACCATGCAAAGCATACAAATTCAGAAAGCTGGGTATAGTCATGGTATGCAATAAATGACCAAAAAATGAGTTTCAGAAATCTTGTCATCCTTTATTTCAAACATGATATGAAAAGGGATTTAATAGCAATTAAAGAAATAAGAGGCACTATAGGAAACATCTAATTTAATATGAAGTACCTCTATGGGTTACAAATAAAAGTGGGATACAGATTATGAAAGAAAGCAAAGCAAAATACAATAACACAACCTTTCTTCCCATTATGCTTAGCCTATTTCATATTTTTTTCAGATATCGGACAAAACTCAGACATTAATTACTTTGAACATTCTATATCCCCCTTGCAAAAAAAATTGCATCTAACCTGTTATTTCACTGCAGTAAATAGGTTGGTTAAATTTCTTGGAGAGGCCTCTGCAGTGGTCATAGTGGAAGTGCGTGAGAAAGTATGCCTTCACACCATCCAAGATGCCATAACAAAAGGCATCTACAACAATATCTGTATCTAAAGACAACATATACATTGCATTAGTTGTGGATGAAGATCTTTTGTGTGTTTTGATCATTATCAAATAATTATAAGAAAAAAACTTTATACCCGAATTAAATTAATACAAATCTCTCTCTCTCTCTCTCTCTCTATATATATATATTATATAATAAATGCATTAACTAGATTATTTGTACATTGTGTTTTTTCTTCCCATAGTGTCTACACGGTAGTGTTTTTCCATTTATATAATTATATATATATATATATAATATATATATATATATATATATATATATATATATATATATATATATATATATATATATATATATATATATGTGTGTGTGTGTGTGTGTGTATGTGTATAATACATATATATATATATATATATATATATATATATATATATATATATATATATATATATATATATATATATTATATATATATATATATATATATATATATATGTGGAATGGTATGAATGAGAACGAATATCTTCAATACAAGAGATATTCGTTCTCATTATACCTTTCCACATTTGTCAACATGAATACCATATATATATATATATATATATATATATATATATATATATATATATATATATATATATATATATATATATATATATATAATATCAATAATCAAACCATTGCTGATTATTGATCCTAAATGTGGAAAACCAAAATTTGTAGCTGCTAGATTAAAAAGATGGTCAGTAGAACTTGTTCTATACAACTACATCCTGGAGTATAGGTCTACCACAGACATGGTGAATGCAGATGCACTGTCTCGTTTACCAGTGGATAGAACATCCAGGAAGTAGCTTGCATTATGCTGGCAGAGGCTCGTCAACTACATTGTGTAAAACTACATTTTATACAAGAAAAGATCCATTAGTCTCAAAGGAATTGCAAAATTCAATAACAATGGAGGGTATTTAAGTTAACCCGACTGCATTTTCACAATATCTGGTAAGAATTAATTTTGGTTTTACTTACCAGGAATATATTTGTAGAAGGGGCACCTTCTCTGCTGCTGGTCTGCCTTACCCTCTTGCTGCATAAAGCAATTGAAAAAAATTAAATCATTCAGTAAAAGTAATGGGAAGCTTGAGTGTATGCACGAGTCCGTGTTTGTGTGGTTAGGTAGCATTGGTAGTGTGGTGGTGATACAGTATTAATGATATTGCCAGATTTTTTAAAAGAAAAATTTGGAGAAGCATCTTTCTGTGTTTCTAAAGCAAACAAATTCCTGCTATGAAAATATTCCCATAGTAGGTGAATATGATAAAGCATACGCATATATACTGACAACAATAAAGAAGGAACTAGATTTTCTGATTTGACAAGGTATTATCATTACAAGCTTCATCACAAATTTCAAATTATGTTTTCACATACAATTATGCCTAATGATGTCTGATGCATACTTTATTTATGGGTGGATTTGTTTTACCAATATTGTTTACATACAGACAGCTTCATAGATGCTTGGTCACCAGGAAGTCTATTACTTTACCTGCCTGATTATATTTGTTTAGCCTGTGCATTTTTTTGAAGAAATGTTTTCATTTGTATTACTACTATTACTGTAATAAATATCATTATTACTGTTACTATCATAATCACCATTATACCTTATTCAATATAAAATAATAATGAAATCATAAAAAAAAATCTGCCTAAAAATACAAAGAATAGGGTATAAAAGGCCAAGTTGACTTAGTACTTCACACCATGGTGTAAGTCCTTCTGTGTAAATAAAATTAAGAAACCTAAAACAGTAGACAATGTATGTAAAAACAAATTCCTGGCATCAAAGGGTTAATATTCTACAACTGATCTTTCTGTTATTCAATAATATACTTTATTTAGTAATCAACAAAATCATAATTTCAATTTCTCATCATTATACGGAAATGGGGAAATTTATCTCATGGTACATATGCTAAGGGAGAGGGAGAGAGGGAGAGAGGGAGGAGAGAGAGAGAGAGAGAGAGAGAGAGAGAGAGAGAGAGAGAGAGAGAGAGAGAGAGAGAGAGAGAGAGAGAGAGAGAGAGAGAGAGAAGGGGGAGGGGGGAGGGGGAGGGGGAGGAGAGAGAGAGAGAGAGGGAGAGAGAGAGAGAGAGAGAGAGAGAGAGAGAGAGAGAGAGAGAGAGAGAGAGAGAGAGAGAGAGAGAGAGAGAGAGAGAGAGAGAGAGAGAGAGAGAGAGAGAGAGAGAGAGAGAAGAGAGAGAGAGAGAGAGAGAGGAGAGAGGAGAGGGAGAGGGAGAGGGAGAGGGAGAGAGAGAGAGAAGAGGGAGAGAGGGAGAGAGGGAGAGAGAGAGAGAGAGAGAGAGAGAGAGAGAGAGAGAGAAGAGAGAGAGAGAGAGAGAGAGAGAGAGAGAGAGAGAGAGAGAGAGAGAGAGAAAGAGAGAGAGAGAGAGAGAAAGAAAGAAAGACAGAGACAGCAGACAGACAGACTGACAGACACAGAAAATATCACTGTATTCTTCAAAATTTATCCTTATCTCTGGAATAAAATCGACAAAGCTCTTACCACATCTGCAACACGAGGAACATTTATTCCCTGACTCTTCCACGGGGTTCTTCTTGCTCCCTTTGTTTTGGAAGAAATTAAGGATGCTGGTCTGACCACCTGGAAGGAAAGAAAAAGAATAATAGATCATAAAATAGAATGAAGCTAAACAGTCTCCTATTAAAAAACACTTAGCTTACTCACACACACACACAAAAAGTGAAAGCTGCAGACTGACAAAATCTGAAAAACTTTGAGGGAGATACTAAAACAGTCATAGACTACTCAGATAGAGATGCTAAATCAACAGATAATACTTGTATGAGATTTGCAATGTTTCAACCTTTTTTAAATGCAAATAACCTCTTGAATGAGAATACCTTATCTTTATGAATCTGAACTGTAATGACAATCTGCAATCCTGTTATTCAGTACTATTTCAGCAACCCCCTTTTTTAACTTTGAAAATACATGAACTACTTTCTGTATCATAACTTCATTAATTGTGTTACCACAATTTGAAAGCCACTAAAAAATAAATGCATTTTTCCTGAGAACTTTTTTTTATCCAAAATGAGTTACTTTTTTGTTATTCAATTGAATGTCTCACCTTGCAGCTTTTAAGGCAGCAAATATGGTAATAATGTGTATTCTAAACTACTGCTTTGGAAATTCTGTTGTCCGAGGGCAATTCTAATTTTACTTCAGAATGAAACATACACCTTCATACATTGGCTGATGTCATTAGTGTTAAAAGCTGTGAACACAAAAGACATACCCTTACCCTTTCTTGGTGACTTCTGAGGAGAGTTTTGAATGTGGAAGTGTAGGTGTAAGCAAGGTTTACAGGAACCTTGATTTTTACATCTTACACTTG